GTAAAGCTCCCTGTACACTGTCTCCCCCATCAAACACTCCCAGGGACGGGGACAGCACAGGATTTAGTAGATCTCCCTATTTGCGATGGGTGCTGCCTGTGCAATGCTAACACACTCTCTCTCCCTCTCTCCCTCCCCCTGCCCATTACCCCATGCAGGCCATTGAGGGTGCTTCCCATCACGTGTATGCTGACCGCCCAGAGGAGTTCAACACCGCCGTGCTGGAGATCTGCGACTCTGTGCCCGACACACCCCCTGCTCCTTGCTCACCTAGCTCCACCGTCCCGGCCTCCCCCTCCCCGAGACCGTCGTCCCGGGCTTTGGAATGAAGCGAGGGCTCTGGCCGTAGCCCAAACTTCCTCCAGCAGGCCTGGCACGGACAACCCCCCCCCCCCCCCCCCCCCCCCCCCCTCCCCACCCCTCCCCTCCAGGACAACGTGACTCCCACCCCATCCCCTGTTGTTCAAAGGTGCATCCTTTGGCCTCCTGCTCTTATTCCCAATGGACCGTGCTTCAGTCATCAGTAAAGAGGCCGCAACGATTTTCGGAGGGGCTTGGTCAATGAGGGGCGCACGGGCGAAACCGTCTCAAACTTTCCACCTCGCAACCGGGCTCTTCCATCTCGTTCTTTCTCTTCCGGCCCTCCAGTACCTTGGGAAATTCCGAGGTATTCCCAAGACGCGGTCGTGCGCGGATGGACAGGGCATTCCTCTCCCAGCACCAGTCAGGCCCCCTGGGGGCGGGTGTTATCCGACAGGGAGTCTATCTCCAGCTCCTGTCAGAGGCAGTGGCGCCAAGGGAGCGGGCCGCCATCAGATCCCGCCTTCCGAGCGGGAAAACGCTGGTGTCCCGGGGCCGACTTTCACTGCTTAGCGTCCGACAGCGGCAAATGAGAGCGTGTGCGTGTCTGCTCCTTGGCTTTTTCTCGATTAGGATTTCATGGGGGTTGTGTTGTCACTGGAGCGTCGCTGTACAAATGCGATCCAAACGGCTGGGTGACGGATCGGCCACCTCATGTAAACACTGAGCTCCTATCCGAAGCGAATACCCCGGTGAGCCACGGTGATGCAGTCCTCTTGAAGTAAACCAAATCAACTGTTAAGTTCTCTGTGTTTAAATTACACCAACGTGCATGTGACCCACAGTTGGAGATTCGATCCCTGTCAGTTGAGCAACACTCTCTTTCTCTGTGTGTGTGTGTGTGTGTGTTGTGTCCCCTCCCCCTCATCCCTTTCTATCTGAGAGCCAGTGGATTCCTGACAAGGATGAAGGAGATCTGGAGTGAGCTTGGTGGTACTGGTTTCCCCGCCTTTTAAGACTGAGAAATGCAAACCAGGGAAGCAAGGGCAGGAAGAGATTCCCTGAGTGTCCCAAACAAATGCAGAGGATGCTGGAGAAATTAGGCAGGTCCGGCAGAGGGAGAGGGTCACCACCCGAGTCTGGGCGTGCATTTCTCGGGAGGAGTTACAGACTGGAATCGTTGACTCTTTCCCGGCTGCCAAATGTCTCCAGCACTTCCCGTGAATAAGCGAGCAGGGAATGGCAGGGTGAGTGCCGTTAAAGTCGTAGGCAAGATCCCACACGATCCTCCAACATCTCTTGCTCAGCTTCAGCCAGGAATAAGATGTTTTGGTCTGGCCGGGGCGGGGCGGGGTGGGGGGAGGAAAGAGAATTTTAGCTTTTATTTGCTGAACCAATGCAGGAAAATGTTGCGAGTAGCAGAGATATTGGGGAGCCCCTTCACCTGAGGTGGCACGAGGCTGTGTTGGAGGCAGTTCAGAGGGGGTTCAATCAATTGATTCCAGAGACGAGGGGGTTGCGTTACGGAGGGAGACGTGGCACGTTAGGCTGATACTCTGTGGAGTCACGCAGCGCAGAAACAGAGCCTCCGGTCCAACCAGTCTGTGCTGAACGTAATCCCAAACTAGGCCAGTCCCACCAGCCTGCTCCTGGCCCATATCCCTGTTCAGGTACTTATCCAAATGTCTTTTAAACACTGTAACCATACCCACACCCATCCACTCCCTCTGGAAGCTCATTCCACACATGAACCACTCTCTGTGTAAAAGAAATTGGCCCTCGTGTCTTTTTTTAAATCTTTCTCCTCTCACCTTAAAAAAAAAGCCCCTAGTTTTGATAAACCTAATCCTAGGGAAAAGACCCTTGTCATTCACACATGCCCCTCATGATTTTATAAGCCTTGATAAGGTCTCCCTTTCACCTCTTATGCTCCAGTGAAAAAAGTCCCAGTCTATCCAGCCTCTCCTCATAACTCATTCCCAACAACATCCTGGTAAATCTCTCCTGAACCCTCTCCAGTTTAATAATATCCTTCCTATAGCGGGGGAGACCAGAATGGGACACAGTTCTCCAGAAGTGGCCTTACCAATGTCCTGTACAACCTCAACATAATGTCCCAACTCCGATACTCAAAGGGTCTGAGCAATGAAGGCCAAATGCTGCCTTACCCACCCTGTCTACCTGTCTTACCAACTTCAGGGAATGATGTACCTGAAACACAAGGTCCCTCTGTCCTACAGCACTACCCAGGGCCCCGCCATTAACTGTATAAAGCCCTGCCCTTGTCTGTTTTACCAAAATGCAACACCTCGTGTTTCTCCAAATTAATTGCCGTCTGCCACTCCTTGGCCCATCGACCCAATTGATTGAGCTCTTGTTGTCATCCTAGATAACCTTCTTGGCTGAGAGAGCTCTGGCTCAGGAAGGTCCATAAATCAGGTCCATTTCCCCAGAGTGCACGGATGACACACAAGGGAAGTGCTGTAAAACCTGTCCCAACCCATCCAAAGGGTACGGGGAGGGGTGGAGGTCATTTCGGACTGGGCAGGTGGGGAGAAATGTTCAACACCAGGAACGCAGTGACAGAGGGTACAATACCTCTGTGTCGATGCCCAGTGAGCATTATTGGGTACGTTCTCCCCAGGCTATAAATCAGGTGGACATTGATAAGAGATACATTCTCCCTACAGCGAGGCGGTAGCAGAGAAACCTTCTTTCAGTGGTGTAACTGAGACACAGTTTGGAGGGAGGTGGGAAGTCAGGGCCACCTTTCTCCCCCACCAGCATGTTGCCCGGGGCTCATTCTGCCTAGAGGTGTCTTCTCAGGCTTGCCTTGTACCGACTGACCCCTTGTAGCTGGTCGGGAACTCTACCATGACATCCGCACACCTCCCCCCAACACCCCCGACTACAGTGTGGTTGGCCCAGCCTGCTCCAGCTCTCCAGGGGGAAGAGGACAACCTTTCTGTTGTGTCACTTGTGAATCACTCTGCCCCTTTTCCTTTCTTACCACCAGAGGTAGTGGCATGCACCGGAAAGCGGAGAGAAAAGGAGGATCTAGCTTCTGACCTACGATAGGGTTACGAGTGCCTGTCCGATTCAGCAAGCTGTGCTTTGGGGTGAGTTCACACTGTCGCTGCCTCAATTTCTCTCCTGCCCGTGTCTTTTCCAGCCTGGCACTCTTAACTTAGGCCAAACCCAAGCCTAGTCTGCCACTGTCTTCACCAATGCCACATTTTAGGAATAGGCTATTCAGATTTGAGCCTTGGACACATCGACCTGTGTGGCATTGAGAGGGGGTGATCCACCCCCACATCCACAGAGACCAGTCTGTCTGAAACAGGAATAGATTTGTCATCAGTAAGGGGCAGATATGGGCCGTTCAATCCGACGGATTACATCATGGTGATCCAGCTCACCCCAGCAGCATGTAGTGTCTCATCTGAAAGCCAGAAGTCATTCGACACCATGTTATAGTCCAACAGGTTTATTTGAAATCACAAGCTTTCAGAGCATAGCCCCTTCCGGTGCAGTGAGAGAGACAGATGCCCCAAGGTATGGTATATTGGCGAGACCATGCAGACGCTATGACAATAGATGAATGGACACCGCACAACAAATCACCAGACAGGAACATTCCCTCCCAGTCGGGGAACACTTCAGCAATTGAGGACATCCGGCCTCCAGTCTTTGGGTAAGCGTCCTCTGAGGTGGACTTCAAGATACACGACAAAACCGAGCAGAGGCTGATAGCCGTGAGGACGGCCTCAACCGGGATCTTGGGTTCATGTTGCAGTACATGTGGTCCCACCACACTGTTCTGTATCTGTAAAATCTTCCTTACTGCCCTGTTTTGACACCATCACCTTGATGCATTGTTACAATCTCTTTACCTTTGTACAGTTTTGGATTACTTATGACTTTGGTTAGACCCTCGGTCTGCGACTCTTATACCTAGCATGTTATTCCAGTCGTATGGTTTGTCTCCAGTACCACCTTATTTTTAATTTTTTCTAATTATGTCCCTGCCTCACTGAATCAGATTATAGGCTATGCCTTTGCTGGTTATTCAGCTGTTGGCACTTTACTCACCGTCTAACACACTCGGTCACCTGCAGGGGACTTACTGTTCACCGCTCCATTCGCTCCACTTGGGCAGTGTTTTAATCTCTCTGCCCATAAATTCCGTGTTCTGCGTGCTTCTCTCTCTCTCTCTCTCTCTTCGCGTGACAAAGGGGCTACACTCCGAAAGCTCGTGGCTCCACATGAGCCTGTTGGGCTATAACCTGGCGTTGTGAGACTTCTGGCTTTGTCCACCCCCAGGTCCAACAGTGACACCTCCCACATCATCTGAAAGGCAGCAATGCTGATTCTCCAACTGTGCAGAGCAGAGAGTGGGAACAGCCTGGTGTGTGTGTGTGTGAGAGAGAGAGAGAGAGAGAGACAGTGAGAGAGTGTGTGTGTGAGAGAGAAAGAGAGTGTGTGTGTATGAGAGAGAGAGCGAGACGGGGAGAGTGTGTATGTGAGACAGAGAGTGTGTGCGCACGCGAGCATGTGTGTGTGTGTGTGTGTGCGCGCACGTACGCACGCATGTGTGAGAGAGAGAGTGTGGGGGTGTGGGGGGTTAGAGTGAGTGTAAGTTCAGTTCCTTGTGGTTTGAAGGGGACCGTACATGTTGCTGATAAGAGATCAGTCCCCTTGCAGCATCTGGATCCACTCCATTCACACTCTGAGATAAACAGCTTTTAATGTAAAAGTCTCTGGCTGGATGCTGAACGACAAGAGTTCCTGCCCACAGGCCGAGGGACCCACTAGCCGATGGTGTCCTCCCACGGGCGTTTCTTGCTTTTCCTCGCTCCCTCGAGCGTGCCGGACGTACTCTCCTGCTGCAGTGGATTCTGAGCAAAGGTCTGTCTCAGGGGCCCTGGGGTCAGTGAGAAACATCCAGTCAGACCCAATCGTTCAGTTCTGTCAACTCACCATCCACTAGCATCCTCGTCTACAGCACTCCGTATCTAACCCCGTGCTCTCCCTCTCCCTGGGTGCGTGTGATGGTGGGGTACAGTGTAGAGGGAGCTTTACTCTGTATCTAACCCGTGCAGTCCCTGCCCTGGGGGTGTGAAATGTGGAGGCACAGTGCAGAGGGAGCTTTAGTCTGTATCTAACCCTGTGCTCTCCCTGTCCCTGGGGGTGTGAGACGTCAAGGGACAGTGTAGGGAGAGCTTTACTCTGTATCTAACCCCGTGCTGTCCCTGTCTTGGGGTGTGTTTGATGGGGGGGACAGTGTAGAGGGAGTTTTACTCTGTATCTAAGCCCTGTGCTGTCCATGTTGCGTGTGTAGGGGACAGATTAACTGCCCCCTATCATATGGGTGAAGCTTGCACCTGCAGACAGTCCATGGCTGGTCACGACTAACCTTTGGCTGCAAGGTCCAGGTGGTGTTTAATCCTCCTGTCCTTCTCCTGGAGCTGCTGGGCTGCCTGCGCATTTTTCCACCCTGCGGGGATCAGACAAAGCAACCGCTCGCATCAACCATTCACACCTCACCTCGCGATGGCCTCACGCGCAGGACTGCCACAGGCTGCCTTTACGTGGCACCTGTATCGTTAGAGAATGGGCCACAAAGACCATCCTCTCAGCATTTACCCTGTCAAGCCTTTGTATGTTTCAATGAGATCACCTCACATTCCCCCAAGCTCCTGTGAGTCGAGTCCCAATTTGGTCAGAAGCCAATTTCCCCCCGTGCTGCACCGAGGATCATCCCAGTGAACCTTCTCTGAACTGGCCTGCAATAAGGTCTTTCCTGAAAATAAAAGGCAGGGGTGGGGTCAGTGATACCTTAGCACCGACATCATTAGACTCTTCATCCAGGGACCCAGGCAATACTCTGGACAGAGAAACAGAAAGCTCACCAGGTCCGGCAGCATCCGCGCAGAGAAATCAGAGTTAACGTTTCGGGCTCAGTGACTCTTCCTCACAACGGAGGAATATTCTGGAGACCGGAGTTCGAATATCGCCGCGGCAGGTGATGGAATTTGAATTCAATAAAAGTCTTGATTTAAGAGCCTTACCATGACCGTGACTCCACTGCCGAGTGTTGGGAAAAACCCCTCCTGCCCTTTTAGGGAAGGAAACCGCCATCCTTACCTGGTCTGGGCCTACACGGGACACCAGACCCCCAGCGACGTGGTTGACTCTCAGCCGCCCTCTGGGCAGTTAGGGATGGGGCAATGAAAGCCGGTGCAGTCAGTGATATACATAAATAAGGGGACCAAAGCTGCTCACAGTACTCCAGGTGGTGGGCTCACCAGCAGCATGTACGTGTCCCTACTCTTACACCTCAACCACCCTGAAATAATAGCCTTCCTGGTTAGCTACTGTACCCAGTGCGTTAGCTCTGTGCTTCATGCACAAGTATACCCAACTCCCTTCCAGCTTTCTGCAGTATTTCTCCAAGTGTACAATATGCTTTTGTTCTCCTGTCCGAAACAACAAGACATTTCACACACCCCCACCCCACCACCCCCCCGACACGGTATACCATCAGCCAGCTTTCCTCACCCCCACCCACACACACACACACTACCCCACCCACCCAGTCCCCCGCGCCCACCTCCAACCACCACAGAGATCTCCCAACCTCGGTCTTGAGTGGGGCTGGCCCACGCCCTCCGAGGGGAGAGAAAAGGTGACCCGCCGCACCACCCCCCCCCCCCCCCCCCCCCCCCCCCCCTCCCCGACTTCACACTCTTGAGGAAGCCCTCGCTGCGAGGCAGCACGGAGGCGTCGTGTTTGATGCGTTCCGGGATTTTCAGCGTCCGACGTACAGCTGGCAGACGCAGGAAGCCCACTTGAACCAGGGAGTAGAGGTTGGAGGTCAGCCAGTAGGTGAAGACTGCCTGGGTCACAGGAGGTGGTAGGGTGGCACAGAGAAACACAGGGAGAGCATTTAAAACCACATCGCTCCATCCAAGGGGAAATCAGGCTTGTCTAACTGTCTAGAAATTCTTTACGGAGGTAACCAGGAGGATAGAGAAAAGGGGGGAGCAGTGGATGTAACGTATTGAGAACTTCATAAGATCATATACCACACCTTCAGCAACTAAACAAGCTAAGAGCCCATTGTGTTGGAATTAGGGTCAAAGAGGCTCACAGCACAGAAACCTTGGGCGGACGGAACATAATGCGGGGAGACGAGAGGCCCTGCTCTTTGGCAGGAAGAATAGACAAGCAGAATATTATTTAAATGGAGAAAGACTGCAGAAAGCTGCGGAACAGAGGGATTTGGGAATCCTTGTCCATGAATCAGAAACACCCAGTGCCCAAGTTCAGCGGGTTATAGGGAAGGCAAATGCAACATTGGTCCTTATTACAAAGGGAACGGAGTATAAAATAGGGAGATTTTGTTAAAATTATACAATTTGGCATTGGTCAGACGTTCAGAGCACACAGTCTGCATTAGTCAGAAACAACCAGCTCCCTATTCATAGACTCGTAGGAATGTACAGCACTGAAACAGACCCTTCAGTCCAATTCGTTCATGCTGACCAGATTATCCTAAATTAATCCAATCACATTTGCCAGCATTTGATCCATATCCCTCTCAACCCTTCCCATTCATATACCCATCCAGATGCCTTTCAAATGTTGTTCTTGTACCAACCTCCACCACTTCCTCTGGCATCTCATTCCACACACGCACCACCCTCTGCATGAAAATGTTGCCCCTCACGTCCGTTTTAAATCTTTCCCTCTCTCACCTTAAACCCATGCCCCTCTAGATTTAGACTCCCCAACCCTGGGAGAAAAGACCTTGTCTATTCACTCTATCCATGCCCCTCGTGATTTTATAAACCTCCACAAGATCACCCCTCAGCCTCCGCCGTTCCAGGGAAAACAGCCCCGGCCTATTCAGCCTCTCCTTGTAGCTCAAACCCTCCAAACCCGGCAACATCCTTGTAAATCTTTTCTGAATCCTTTCAAGTTTCACAACATCCTTCCTGTAGCAGGGAGACCAGAATTGAACGCAGTATTCCAGAAGTGGCCCTAACCAATGTCCTGTACAGCTGCAACATGACCCTCCCAACTCCTGTACTCAATGCACTGACCAATAAAGGCAAGTGTACCAAACACCTTCTTCACCGCCCTGTCTACCTGCAACTCCACTTTCAAGGAACTATGCACCTGCACCCCTAGGTCTCTTTGTTCAGCAACATTCCTCAGAACCTTACCATTAATTGTATAACTTCTGCACAACATCCTCCGTAATATGTACATTTTCAAGATGTCGCTATTTATTTCCTCAAGTCCTCCATCTTGCGTATCCTTCCCCACAGCAAACACTGATGCAAAATACGTGTTTAGTATCACTTCCATCTCCTGTGGTTCCACAAATAGGCGGCCTTGCTGATCTTTAAGAGGCCCTATTCTCTCCCTTTTGTCCTTAATGTATTTGTAGAATCCCTTTGGATTCTCCTTAACCAAAGCTATCTCATGTCCCCTTTTTGCCCTCCTGATTTCCCTCTTAAGTACACTTCTACTGCTTTTATACTTTTTTCTGCTGCCTATACCTGACACGTGCTTCCTTCTTAATCTTCACAAAAACCTCAATTTCTCTAGTCATCCAGCATTCCCTACATCTACCAGCCCTTCAATCTAACAGGAACATACTGTCTCTGGACTCTCGTTATCTCATTTTTGAAGGCTTCCCATTTTCCAGCCGTCTCTTTACCTGTGAACATCCACCCCCAATCAACTTTTGAAAGCTCTTGCCTAATACTGTCAAAATTGGCCTTTCTCCAATTTAGAACTTTAACTTTTAAGCTCTGGTCTACTTTTCTCCATCACAATTTTAAAACTAACAGAATTATGGTCACTGGCCCCAAAGTGCTCCCTCAGTCACTTGCCCTGCCTTATTTCCCAAGGGTAGGTCAAATTTTGCTCCTTCTCCAGTAGGTTCATCCACACGCTGAATCAGAACATTTTCTTGTACACACTTAAATTCCTCTCCATCCAAGCCCTTAACACCAGAGCAGTCCCAGTCTAGTTTGGAATGTTAAAATGCCTATTATTCTTACAGATAACTGACATCTCCTTACAAATCTGCTTCTCAATTTCCCGCTGACTATTGGGAGGTCTATAGTACAATCCCAATAGGGTGATCATCCCTTTCTTATTTAAAAAAAAAACGAAAGAACTGCGGATGCTGTAAATCAGGAACAAAAACAGTGGAAGGGTCCGGACCCGAAACATTAACTCTTTTTTGCTTCACAGATGCTGCCAGACCTGCTGAGCTTTTCCAGCAACTTCTGTTTTTTATCCCTTTCTTATTTCTCAGTTCCACACAAACACCTTCCTTGGACGTATTCCCAGGAATTTCCTTTCTAAGTACAGTGGTGATGTCACTGCTAACTAGAAATGCCAAGCCCTGCCTCTCTTGCCCCCCATTTCTATCATTCCTATAGCATCTATACCCTGGAACATTAAGCTGCCAATCCTGTCCATCCCTGAGCCATGTCTCTGTAATTGCTATGATATCCTCGTCCCATGTTCCCAATCATGCCGAGTTCATCTGCCTTAGCATTGAAATAAATGCAGTTTAATGTATCAGTCCTACCTCGTTCTCCACTTTGTTCCTGCCTGTATGAATTGCTTCTTTTCCCGACTGCACCAGCCTCAGACTTTTCCAATCCCCATTTCCCAGCACTTGTACAGTCACGATGCCAAGGCTAAGGGCCATCTGAAGACTTCTGACTCTCCAACCCTGACTGGCAGCGAGTTCCAGATTCCCCACCACCCTCTGGGTGCAATCTTCTCCCTCACATTCCCCGCGAAACCTTAAATCCACACCCACTGGTAACTGAACCCTCCACCGAGGGGAAAAAGTTCGTTCCTGTCCAACTTATTAATGCCCCACATTCCACTCACGTCCCCTCTCAATCTCCTCTGCGCAAACAATCTCAGTCTGTCCAATCTCTCCTTACCGCAAACTCTCCAACGTAGGAAGCATCCGAGTAGAAATGGGAGAGATCAGACGATTGGTTACAAATTGGAACACGGGATAGTTTCACAGTGGCAACCTGTACTAATGGTGGGCCATAGGGATCTGTGATGGTGGTCACAGATATTGACACTGATGACTGACTTGGGTGAGCAAATTGCCAAGTTTGCGGGTGACACAAAAATAGGTGAAAAGGTAAATGGTGAGTCTACAGAGAGATAGAGAGAGATTAAATACGTGGGGAACAAACTTGAGATATGGAACGGAATGGGGTGGGAGGAAATGTAAGGGTCTGCTCTTTGGCAGGAAGAATAGAGGAACTGAATATTATTTAAATGGTGCAAGACTGCAGGAAGCTACAGAACAGGGGGATCTGGGAGGCCTTGTGGATGATGAATCACTGGAAAGCTAGTGACCGTGTTCAGTGGGGAAATGGGAAGACATATCAGGCTTTATCTCAAAGGGAATGGAGTAAAGAAATAGGGAGGTTTTGTTAAAACTACACAAGGCACTTGTCAGACCCCAGCTGGAATACTACAGTTGTAGTGGTTTCGGGGCCCATATCCAAGCAGAGATAGACTGGGCGTCGGAGGCAGCGCAGAGAAGGCTCACTCGGCTGATCCCAGGGATGGAGGGACTGTCTGATGAGGGAGAGGTTGTGCCAGTTGGGGCCTGTACTCATTGGAGTTTCAAATTTAGAATTTGCATTCAAGAGGACAAGGGAGAATCGAGAGAGAGATAGATACAGAAATGGGAGAGCGAGCTTGGAGAAAAGTAGGCAGCTGGTGAGGGAGACATGGACCAGCATGGCTCAGCAGGCCGAACGGCCTGTCTGTGATATTGGCCAGCCCTATCAACATATCCTTCTTCCACCGCCACGTGTTTACCCCCCCTTAAACACATCCTCCAATCACAGAACTGTAGACTCCGTGGCAGAACTGGAACTTACTGAATTTTGGGCAGTCTAGAAGACTGTAACATGTACGAATGGAAGCAGGCCATTCAGCCCATTGAGTCTGCTGCACCATTCAATGAGATCAAGGCTGATCTGATAATCCTCGACTCCACTTTCCTGCCTATCCCCCACTGATTTTCAATCATTAAAGAAACAGTCTAGAAAGACGACAAGGGGAGCAACAAGAGGCCATTCGACCCATCACACGGGGAGACATACCCACCTGAGCTGATATGGGGTTGGGGCAGGATGAAGCAGCCGAAGATGGTTGAGCCTGGAATACGACCCAGACGGGTAGACCGCCCCACACCACCCCCGCAAGCCCAAGATTTGTGCGCTGGGGAAACCCCGGGATAGGCAGAGCTGAAGTGAGGCCAATTTAAAACCATCACAGAACTACAGGGAAACGTTCCATCTGCAGAAAGGGTCAAGCAAGGAGCATGGAGTGGAAGCAGAGCACAGACTGGGGGGGGGGGGGGGGGGGCGATGTCATTAACGTGCGCTATAGGAATCGACGAAAGAGACCAATCTCACGTCCAGCCCCGGAGCGAGCTGCAGGGACACTCACCGTGGGGAAGGAGATCGTGAACGGTAGGATCACCAAAGGCATTATGCGGAAAACGGTTTTCATTGTCCGGAGGTTCGGATTATCAACACCGGACTCAGCACCGAGCTGCACAGAGACAGAGAGACAGAGACATCACTACAACCATCGACACACACACATACAGAGACAGAGACAGAGACAGAGACAGAGACAGAGACAGAGACAGAGACAGAGACAGAGACAGACATCATTACAACACCATCTACAATACACATACAGAGACAGAGAGAGGCAGACATCATTACAACACCATCTACAATACACATACAAAGATCACGACACCATCCACAATACTCTCAGTCAGAGACAGAGAGAGAGACATCACGACATCACCCCCCACGGGGGGGGGGGGGGGGGGGGGGAAGCGCGCGCATGAGAGAGACAGAGAGGCAGAGGGACAGTGCGAGCGGGACAGTGAGAGCGAGAGAGAGAGAGAGTGAGAGAGAGAGAGAGAGACAAAGAGACAGTGAGACAGTGAGAGTGAGAGAAATCACTGCACTAGCATCTTCACACACAGACAGAAACAGAGAGACAACAGACAGAGTTTGGGTGTGGGTGGGGGGAAGACAGAGAGAGACATCACTACAACGCCCTGCCCACATTCAGACAGAGGCAGATGGAGGTATAACTGGCCCCAGAAATAGCAGCGGGACACAGTGACGGAGCTGGGGCAGACACACTTACCTCCAGGATGCCCCACATGGTTCCCGTGACGATTACAGGCAGCAGGTAGAAGGGGTCTGCAGCTGTGAGATCTGTGAACCACCACAGGCCGCCAGTCTGCAAGCTGGGCACAGGCAGGTATGCCATCTGTCGCAGGGCGACGAAGAACGAGATAAAGATAGGTGCCTGAGGGAAGGATAGAGACAGAGAGAAAAAGAGAGAGAGAAAGCATCAGCATTATAGGGTGTTCCAGTCATCCGTACAGGATGGAGGGCATGGGGTGGGGTACATAAACTGGGAGACCCAGGGTAATCCATACGAGACGGTGAGGTGGGGGGCATAAACTGGGAGGCCCGAGGGTAATCCGTACAGGACGGTGGGGGGGAAGAGGGTAAACTGGGAGACCCGAGGGTAATCCGTACGGGACGGTGGGGGGGAAGAGGGTAAACTGGGAGCATTGCTGGATTAACAGCAAGACAAAAAAGCCACCAGAGACTGACCTGGACGAGGGGAACGAGGAACCCACGGAGCGGATTGATATTGTGTTTCCTCTGGAACAGCATCAGGTCCGAATACGCTTTAGCAACTGGGGTGGGCAAAGAGGGGGAGGGGAGAGTTTGGGAGGAGGGGAGAGTTTGGGAGGAGGGGAGAGTTTGGGAGGAGGGGAGAGTTTGGGAGGAGGGGAGAGTTTGGGAGGAGGGGAGAGTTTGGGAGGAGGGGAGAGTTTGGGAGGAGGGGAGAGTTTGGGAGGAGGGGAGAGTTTGGGAGGAGGGGAGAGTTTGGGAGGGGGGGAGAGTTTGGGAGGAGGGGAGAGTTTGGGAGGAGGGGAGAGTTTGGGAGGAGGGGAGAGTTTGGGAGGAGGGGAGAGTTTGGGAGGAGGGGAGAGAAAAAAGCAAAATTGTCAAAAAATCCACTCTGATGTCAGTCTGCCCAAAACACATGGTTCCATTCACTTCCCCCACCCACAGGGACACCCAGTGACACCCTCCTGACCCGGCCGGGGTGGGGGGGGAAAGAGGAGCTATCTTGGGGGTGGGGACCCAGTTCTCGCTCGCTCTCTCACATTCAAACTTGTTGCCGGTGGTCTTGGCCTCATTCATCTTGTTGGTGAGTTTGGTCATTTCCGGGAGGTGGTTGTTGAGTTTCACTGCCTCCCGCTGACCCTTCACAATGACCGGGAACACCAGAGTCCGAGCCAGCACTGTCCCTGCCGGAAAGACAAGACAGTGACAGAGTGTCAGAGAGAGAGTGAGAGACAGACAGAGTGTCAGAGAGAGAGTGAGAGACAGACAGAGTGTCAGAGAG